GTTTGGAAAGAAGAGTATGAAAGCGTCTAGGAAAATGAGCCTTAGTGAAAAGGTCTGCTGGTTGATCAGCGGAGCCAATAAAAACCAAATGAATAGTTTCTTGTGCAACATGATGGCGAACAAAGTGACAATCAACGTCAATGTGTTTAGTGCGTTCATGGAAGACATCATTATGAGCAATTTGCATGGCATTCTGATTGTCACAATAAAGATCAGTAGTAGGCGGTTGAGAAACACCCATATCTTCTAGTAGCCAACATAAATTAAGTAACTCTGATGTGGTGTCTTCAAGTGCTCGATATTTAGCCTCTGTGCTAGAACGTGATGGAACTGTCTGCTTCTTGCTACGCCAAGAGATTAAGGAATCACCAAGAAAAAGACTATATCTAGTGGTGGATTTATGATCATTAGAGTCTCCAACCCAATCAGCATTAAGGAAAATTTTGCAATTCATTTATTGCTGCTACTCACTTTACATGCAGCATAAATGATAGAAATTAATACATACTTATATGCTCTGTCATTGGTTGATGGTGTTTCCTAGTCTTGCTTAGGGGTGTTCATATCCGATCCAATTCGATTGATCCAACCTAAACTGATCCAATCTGATTGATCCGACCTAAACTGATCCAATCCAATCAAAAACCGATCCAAACCGATATAAAATTGAGTTGGTTTGAATCATAAAATTTTAAAACCAAGATAATTGGTTTGGTTTGTGATTTTACCTTTAAACCGCCCGAACTGCCTGATTAAAAAATAAAATCCGATTATAAGATAACTTAATTAAATAATATAATATATTTTTTGTAGTATTTTAAAATTTCTTTTTCTTTTTTTACAAATAATAACTCCATTAACTTAATTAAAAAATAAAAATAAAACATCTCCATATTCCCTAAGTTATTTTTCCATTTTAATCATACACTCTAACCCTAATTCTAAATTTCTAACTCACTTGCAACTCTATTCCTTCAGATTGGTTTACGCCTTTATTATTAAAATCCTAAATTTCTAATTTATTTTTAAAATAATCTTATGATTTTCCTAACTAAGTTTTAAATAAGTATCATTCTAAAAATCTTAAAACTATATAACAAAATTAGTCTTGATATTCTACTATTCTTGGATATTTGGTTTAAAAGTTTTAAATTTTGATTATGAATACTTCTAATCAATTTTAGTGATATTCATGTTAAATTTTATTCACTTTTAACGAGATTTAAAAGATGAGATTAAATTATTAGTGCATTAAGAAAAACAACTAATTTTAATCTTTAAGAATTATTTACGCTGTACTGGAAATTTGAAGTTATCTTTTATTGTTTTTGGTGCTTCTAGTGATATAACTAAGAAGAATTTTTAGATCTTTTCAATTTTTACAAATGTAAAGGAGTATAAGAACTCGTTTATAATTTGTACTTTTTATTATATTTTTACTGATTTGCATGTTAATGTGTTTTATAGTTATGTTTTCTATTTGATGTTAAAATATTTTTACATTATCTTATATATTTAATAATGTTAAAAACTGATCAATTCGACCAAACTACACCGATCCGATTTAAGTTGGATTGGTTTGGTTATCATATAATAGTGGATTGGAATAGTTTAAAAATTTTATTAACCGATTAAATTGGATTGGTTTAAAAAATATTAAAATTCGAACCAAATCACACCGCGAGCACCCCTAGTCTTGCTACTCTGACTTGATACATGCTGATCAATTTCATCTCTATAGGGTAAATTGCCTGGAATAACTGAAAACAAAAATGCCAAATCGAGTCATTGGTACTGGAATTAATGTGTTTTTTAGCATGTATGATTGTAGTTTGCCAAAAACTTACCTCTATATATAATTTTCCTTAATCCATTCATTTTGGGAGAAGAACTTTTGAAAGCAGTTGGCATGCTTGCGAGAAGGTGAAGACATGTCTCCTTAGAATATTTCCGCGTTGCCAACTCTGGATCTTTGATTAGTAACCAAATAGCTGTCTCTGCATTTAATAGATAATTCTCATGCATTTCCCAGAGGAAAAAGAAAAAATGTGTTTTGT